TGGGGAAATGGCCGCTATTCTGTTAATTGTGCGTAACATATTCTAACCGTTCATGTGATGATTTCTTGTCATTTTTTATTATCCAGTATTTTCAAAAAAGGCCAAATACCAGTGCTGTTTTTTTAACGTAAGCCGTCAGTTGCCTTAATCCCAAAGAAAATATTAAAGATGTTTTTGTGCAAAGCTTAAGGACTCTTTGCAACGACTAATGACGCACGTATGGAGGTTGTTAAGATGATTAATGGTGGCGAGGCATGCGAACTGTCATGAAAACTTGTGAAGTTTTCCTTTGCCAGCACACACACGCACGCTGATCACAGAGCGATAATATTTCTATAAATAGTTTTCAGTTCATCTATAAGATTCGCAGTGACGCGGGGTGGTCGGTCGTCGTCAGATATATTGACACTTTTATGGGAGTGGGGAAATAATCTGAAATGTTTTCGCGTGTTTGCCAACAAACTATAGAGGTCAATATGGTGAACAATTTCTGTTGACTTTTGTCATTTTGACAGATATCCTTCAACTATGAACTGCATTGTCTCTTACAGTGTAAATGCGCAATGCATATATAATTGCTACTAGTTTTGATAATAGCTACAAGGATTTCCTACAATATCTGCGTTGGATTTCACCAAATACTTATCGAAATCTCCTTTACAATATGGTGTATTTCTGATTGATATAGCATGTGAAAATCCTAAAATGATTTATAACACTTCGGTACACTTAACCTTTTTCAGGCAGCTTAGATACGAGTACGTCATGATATTATATAATCAATATATACTATCTCTCGTGATTATTTTCACATATATAACATCATCTGACAAGTGCTTGGTACCGGTCATTTTCACATCCCAACCACACATCGTGCAGCGGCGATGGTAATTAATGACCAATACATGCAGGCGATGTTTTACCAAACCCTGCAAACTCTTTTGAAATAGGAATGTCGAGTTTCGTGAGAATAAAATGTACTTTCGAATCCCTGAAATGTATAATTATAATTGCACCGAAATCTAAAGTTAGTCTCACTGGCATTGAAATGCTATTTGCAGTGTCTAAAGTAATTGAAGAAAATTTCATCTATTACAAGAATAATGCCTTTAGTCTTTACATATTTAATTTCTTCAGAAGCATTCAGAGAGAGAGAGAAAGAGAAAGATATTGTGGAAATCACCACTAAATATGAAATTTACTAAAGCACAGTGTTTCGTATATATGAATTTCTTCACATCAATGAGTTTGGCATATCACTTGTTTAAACGCACTGTTTGAACCGCTGGGTACATAAATCACTATAGATATGACAAGTATACAGTCATTATTGTCTGTAGTGCAAACTATAATATGTGAACAGTGAACCTGACTTAAGCTTATTCCATGACAAGTGTTAAAAGCATGGCGTCATCCAAACGGCTAAACACGTCAGCGGTTGCCCACAGGTCATCAATGACTTTGACATCACGTTTCTGGATTTTTTTAAAAATACCAAAAAAAGATTTTGACCTAAAAAGACACCGGCCGTGTTGATATAAGTTGGCAGTTACCACTATAGCCGTGAAAAACTTCGCGTTAAAGCTGTGGCATTGGTTGAATATTCGATCGCGAATCCACGAAACGTATATATATATATATATATATTATATATATATATTATATATTATATATATATATATATATAATTAATATATTATATATATTATATATATAATATATATATATATATATATATATAATATATATATATTATATATATAAGAGGTTGAAAAGGTTCGTTAAACTGTCTGGAATGAGGCAATGCGTTGGTATTTAAGGCATTAAACAATTTGATCTAATATTGTGCGATTTAAGGGAAAGAAAGATAAGTAGAAAGCTCAGCTGCTTTTTCCACCATCGTAATGAAAATGGGACAATCATTGATGGAATGATTACAGGCTTTCCGACAAGAGCGTCAAGACTACTTCGTCCACCCATATGAACGGCGCCAGTAAACTAGGCACATAGGAAATAATCGAGTACTATTCGTGGGTAATATTGATGACAACAATTTAACACTTATCAGGCAGCGCCCAGAAACAGCTCTATTTCCTCTGTGCAATAACCCATAAGAAAATAATAATCGTCATTTTAACGAGCAGGAAGCATTGAACAAAAGCTAAGTGCATGTGCTAAATTACCCAAACCTTGCCTTAAAGGAAACAATTTGTAGCTAATAGATCGAGGTTCGATTAAAATTACCTTTTTGCTGTAGATGCAAGAAGAACTATTTGAGTTTGTTTTACAAATGAATTAAACTCGTGTATAGTCAACTCGTGTATGCTCAAGTATCAGTAGCGCTACAAATATCAGTGGCTTGCCAATCTTTCTACAATCGTAATCACAGGCTTCCTGCGAGCTATATATCTCTTATAACTTCCCAGCAGCCATAAACAACATCGACAAAACATAACTGAGATTTTTACCGCATGCGTCAGGGGGGGGGATATTCCCAATGGCTGCAGTCGTTTCCCTGCAAGCGTCTCAGAGATATACCTGGTATCCCGCGATAAGAACTGTGAGATATAGATAGGTTCGTATATGAACCAGGATAGCATGCTGCCTTCATGGTGTATTAATATACGACCATTGTTATTATTCAATTTTATGATCTTCTCCCTCTGTGCATCTTAATTAGCGGCACAGCTTTCTCAGAGAGAGCGCATCCTGCGAGGCAGTGTGGGGGCCAAGGTAATGGAAGCGTTTGCCTCCAGGGAATAAAATATCGTATAATAGCAATGATAAATCGCTTTCTTTGTTTGCATCTTGTTGATATAATGGTTTGTGTATACAAATGGCAATATATATAGTGACAAGGCAGATGGGTTCTTTTCTTTCTTTAGTTGTATATATTGATAAACGTATTTTGTCTCATTAGCTGGTGTGTTATTCCTTGATTTGTATATCACCAGCTGAAGGACGAGTCCAATCTTAGTCGCTGGAAATTCCGTTGAATGCGTTGTTTGCGGTGGAAACAGTTGCGGTCACTCAGCTGTGTGCACAGACAAACTATAGCACGCGAATTCGTTTCGAATTCCCTTTGCTTTCAACAAGAATTCCTACTTAAATACTTTGAAAAGCATTGCGTTAATCACCCATGCATGCACCTTGTTGAACGTTTTGTTTTTAGCAAAAGGCTATTCTTGGGATAACATTGGTAGCAGATGGTGTTTGGTTGGGATATAAAATATACCGTTGTATCAGTGTAGTATATAGTAATTTGTTTAAGAACTCTTCAAAACTATCATAATATAAACGTGTTGATATGCCTGCAGGCTGATGAGGTAGAGATATCGGTTTTGTAATTGAGCTATTTTGAAAACGTAATGTATGAAACTCTTACCTACTCAGAAACGAATATATTGCTACTATGAAACAACAAGAGATGGTTGAGATACAAAGTTCTATAAATTCAAAATATTTTAACTTTCCTGTCATAAATCACAATATCGATAGGCGGACTAGGTTTATTTTTAGTGGTCTTTCAAAAGCTTAAAGATTTTTTTAATAAAGCTAACATTCAATTTTTTTTGAAAGACCTTAGAGTTTCGGTTATAACCCGAGGCTAAGATATAATCGCTTTGTTTTTCAACGAATCGTCAAATAATATTAATGTAAGTGATCCAAGTTTCCCACCTAGTAATGCCTTTTGAGAACTGTAAATTGTAAGTGACTTCAAAGATCACAGATCAATTCATGACCATGTTTATAGCTAGTGCTGGTATACATTATGTTTTGAAAACCGATCGAGTCTGATTTGATTGAAAAGGACTGATAACAGAACCCAAACAACTGCAGCCCTTTGGGCATTACAAGTGTCTTTAAGTCATTACATGATTATCATTATATTTTGGTATGTGCATGATCTTTCACGAAATCATTCTTATTACAATTGGTTCATGATGTTGTTGGTTTAAGACCCTACCTGGTTATATACGATTCATACCCTGACGTATGTATTTGAGGGGATACATGTACAATTGTGAGATTACGAATTCCGTCTTCGGTGAATGAGCAACCGTTGGCAATATCAGTACTCTTTTTCATACGTCAGAACTACAATTACATGAATTATCCTATTGCGTAGACGGCCCTTTATCATGGCCGATGAGACATGGAATTTTTATGTAGTACTGCCCACCACTTTTAGTTCTGACCCGCCTACTTATTTTCCTGACTTACATTTTCATGTTCTATGCACGATATGATGCTTAGCTGTATACAAGCCAGCATGTTCTTATTTTATAGCTGCTTTTTTGTGTAGAATGTGAAATAAAAGATATTCTAGCATATTTACGTTTCATGATGTATACATACAGTCAACAACAGCTCCACTTAGCTAGAACATTGGTGGTTTCACTTTAATCTGATTGCATTTTCGAGCTTGACGTTTCAAAAATCCTCAATTGGACCACTTAACAAGTGCTCTTGTATTTCGAGTGTTTTGGCAAAGAATTCGTGATTTCTGTTTATTATAAAGCTATATAATACAACAATTTGCATTGAGGTGCTTGTAGCTTACAATATTATAGGTTTGCCAGCGTCATATAATCAATTTTCATTCTAGCATATTCGACTGCATTTTATCTGTACATACAAGTCTTGTATAGCATCTAAACTATTTTCAATCCTGGTTAAAGCTATTTCAGGATTAAAAATAAGAATATTTTTTTAACTTAATCAGATTATTTTTACAGCCAGCGTTGAAATGTTTGTTGAAAATCTAAATATAACTAATGTAGTCCTTTGCCAAACTTATGGCAAGAATTTTAATAGTATAAAAAGCTCTCTCGCGTGAGCCTTACGTAAGAGGACTTCGAGGTTTAAAAAACAACTACCTTTAAGAAACAACAGCAATTGTGTCTCTCTTCCCACTGATTGTGCGCGAACTATTAACGATTTAGGGCAAATAATAAGCCTAGCTGGGTCACACATTCTAATAGCTTTTTCCCTTTCAGATCTCCAGGGTATATCAGTACAACTAGCCAGCCCAGTTCTGTTGAACAATGTCGTGAGAATTACATGCATTGTTGATACAAACCAGCCCGTAAAGTTATCGTGGTTCAAAGATAACATTGAGTTGGATACCTCTCAAGATAAGAGGCTGGAAACGTCTGGAATACTGCGGATTATTGATTACAAAGCCTCTGATAATGGAATCTATTCTTGCCAAGCACGCACTGGCTTCAAAGTTATAACTAGTAAAGGAGTGAAGGTTTTTGGAAACGGTGAGTTGAATTTTATTGCTGCTGAATGGCGACCGTTTATAGTATAACCGTCGTTGATATTTCAACAATATCTGAATTTCTTCTCCCTGATATTTTAGCTGCAGTGAACACCAGTGTCCATGTTTATCCTGGGAAAGTTATTCGTACTACAGTTGGGAATCCCTTGGTAATTGAATGCATCCATTATGGTCCCAGAAAGTCCTCGCTTTCTTGGTTATCAAGCACCAAAAAACTGGCCACTGCCGCGGGATATGTTAATCTTGAATTTGATTCTGTGCAACAGTCGAATGGTGGAGAATATCGTTGCGTATCAACGGATGGCGTCGAACAAACAGTTCATGTATTTGTTGAAGGTGAAAAATACTTTCCGCACAACTTACTATAGACTGAGGTTTTAGTATTGTATGATTTCCAGAGAAGGTACCGTGGAACAAGCCAAACCGGGGCTGGTTGAACGAAGTCCGTTCGGTTTAACGGCGAATAAGCCAAAAAGTAATCGCCAATCTTCAGCTAATTAAACAGGCCCCGGATTCTTCTTCTTCCAAAACCGTAACCAACGTGTGTTTTGTGTTGCTAATATTCGTTTAACCGTCTAAGCAATGTCTGTTTCTACTGTTTCAGCTCCACCTAGTTTTAAATCAAAACTACCCGCATTGACGAGGCAGGACGAACTGAGGAGATTGGTGCTCACATGCAACGCAACGGGTACTCCTACGCCATCAGTCACGTGGTACAGAAATGGCCGAAAGATTTTCCATAGCAATGGTTCAGAAACGAACTTGGTTATAGACCGTGTGAGATCAGAACACCGAGGAATATATCAATGTGAAATTGAGAATAAGCACGGATCAAAAATGGATCAGACGATTTTAGATGTCATTGGTAGGTGATTGCTGATTGCTGATAATCAATAATATCGACCATGTATTTGATCACACTGTCGATTATTTTGAGTTTCATGTTTTCAACGTTCCTCATTTGGTCTGTCTATTTCATGGTATTTTTTTGTCCTTTCAAAGATCTCATACAACCTCCAGGAAATGTCCGGGGATATGCCATCTCTTCAACGGTGATTAACATCACATGGGAAAAACCTCCTGATTTATACGGAGAAATTTTTTACAATGTACATTTGACGGACTGGATTACACGAACTGACCGCTTTGGAACTATCACAAAGAAAACGTATCAAGTAATCAACTATCTGAAAGCTTTTAGAGATTACCTAGTTCGAGTTGAAGTGTATACTCTCAAGGGGAAGAAAGGCACTTGTGCTTTTTTCATCAAAACATTGGAAGACGGTGAGTTTTTTGTGATTTTAGAGCAGGGTAGAGAAGATCCGAGTAGGATAAAGGAGATCACAGCAGGGTAGAAAAAGGTAGAGAGGATCCGGGTAGGATAAAGGAGATCACAGCAGGGTGGAAAAAGATAGAGAAGATCCGGGTAGGATAAAGAAGATTTAAAGATAGAGAAGATCCGGGTAGGATAAAGAAGATCACAGCAGGTAGAAAAAGGTAGAGAAGATCCGAGTAGGACAGTAAAGAATATCAGAATAAGATAGGGAAGGCCAAAGCTGGATGGAAGAAATCAAAGATGTCTAAGAGAAATGAGAGCACAGGAGTGTTAAGAAGTAATATTGAATGTGTGATTTTATATGATTTTTCCAGCTCCCGGTGGTAAGCCAAATGACGTAAAATTGACCAGCTACTCATCCGGGGTAAGTAGCAAGGCGTTGTCACTTCGTAAAATACAAATTCTTTACTTGTTACACTTTAAGCAGTACATCGCATTATTGTTTTGGTAAAGATTTGCTCTGATCTGATCGTGCCACGATTTTAAAATCTATGTTACATATTTGTAGTCTCTGGATGTAACGTGGTTACCGCCGTTTTTGACTTCCCGTAATGGTAAGATAATCAGCTACGAAATAAGGTACCGTATTGAAGGTAGCCTCAAGGAAAATAACGTGACCATTTCCAAGAATTTCTACTCCACACCGGTAAGAAATCTTGTACCAGGAAATAAAAGGATTACAGCTAAGAACTTCTACTCTGCAATCCTGCGACAGCTGGTCCCGGGAAAGAAATACTTCGTTAGGGTGGCAGCAAAAACTGCAAAAGGACGTGGACCGTTTTCAAAGGGGATTCCGTGCATTATCTCAGAGAAAGTTGCTAAAGGTAAAGATACAATGATACGATCATTATGGAAGCTCGTTAGCTGCCAAACATAAATACACAAATTAATAAGGCGTTTATTACTATGATGATCATCAACGCCACTAAGGTAACTTTATATTTTTATACAGTCATTCCAGCACCTTCAGTTATTATCAAATATGTCAACGAGACGAGTATTGTATTGAGTGTCGAATCTCCACCGGATTTGGGCATCAAAGGCTACCAGTTGATATACAAGGTCATGGGGACCTCCATGGATATGGAAACAAAGATCAGAAAGGATGGGGCTTCCTTTGAATATGTTTTGAACAATACAGGTTTGTGTATCTTCGGCTCAGATCATTAGCTCAATCATTGCATGCATTATGTTTGATATTGTCATTTCTGTCTTATAATTTACAGAGATGGACGCAGAGTATGTCATTAATGTGTCTGCGTTTGATGATAAAATGTCTTATGGTAGACCTAAAATTTTTCTCTTGGCCAGAAACAGTAAGTCGTTTTCGTTCCGACAAGCATTTCTTTATCAATAACAGTCAAACTACATTCAATACGTCATGCAGGGGGCGGTTTTATCAAGCCCGTTTAGCTTAATATTTATAACACTCTTACGTCTCTCTTGAATGATTCAACTTGAATATTATGCACTTAATATTTAATATTTAATATGTAGTTGTAAACAGTATCTTTGTATTAACGTAAAAACATTTAGTTTGCTTGTGGAATAAAACGATAAACTTGCTTTCAATTTTGAACTTAACCACCATTTATAAGCTAAAGAGGCTTGATACAACCGGCCCCAGGAGTGAATTGGATCCGAGTTTGCTGATTCACTGATCTAATCGTACCTAAACTGATGTCTTTATCCAGCCTCAAAAGATCTAAACCGCACAATGTTTGATATCCAAAATCACACCTACGGTCGAAGCATAAATGTCTCCTGCGAACTCGTGCGCAACGCAACCGCCATTGCTGTGAAATGGGCTCGAACAAAAGATGTTGAAACGAAATTCGAAGTCCGATACAGCGTTGTGGCTGAAACATATCAACGCAAGACTGTTCTCACAAAACATCTCAACATGACGATAGAGGACGTATCCCCGGGCGAGATCTATCATCTACAAGTGCGTACTGTGATTCGCAGACGTCCAGGAATATTCACGTTCAACGGGTTACCCAGGACAAAGCTGTGTAGGGTACCAGAAAAAGGTGAGACTTTACGTTACCCACTAACCTGCGATAAGGCGTTCTCGGGCCTAATCGCTTCAGTTTCCACTGAGCAAATTTGCTTGTCAAAAAAAATGCCATTTTATCCTCCTAATAATTTGCCTGCGTATGATGGCTAGAACAATGACCATGGTCATGGTTGTATAAAACTCTTTAACTACGTTTTGCCAAGTTACATCCTAGTTAACTCAGAAATACACAACTCTGACTGGCCAATTCTGTCCTTAACTACAGGTAAAAGTTAAACTCGCCCCAGGTTTAATCGTGTCAATACACTTTGAATGTTTTCTAATTTAATTCTTGCCACTGTATTTGATAGAACCAGTCTCTCCCCCGCATATCATGGAATGCACGAAGACTGGTTCCAAAGGCCAGATCACGTGGCTTCGACCAGACAAACCGAACGGGCACATAGTTAGCTACGAAATTGTGTGGTTTGGCCCTAAAAACGAGACGATGAAGACAGTGGTAAACATGGGCATTTCGGAGGCTCCGTATTCGTACACTCTTGAGAACGTCTCCGAAGAAGGGAAGTCCGTCGTGTATGTGCGTGCGAAGAACTCTGTCGGATTCAGCCCATTTGGACGATGTACTATGCACACTGAAGAAACCAAAGGTAAATCCTTCATAAAGATTTCCCCGTTGATTTATGAGACGCCCGAGCGTAGTTGCAAAACGTTTGCAGTCTTACCACTGACTAACTAGCCTGGCTTGTCCAGTAATGCCACCGCTTTTTCAAAACGTTTTATTCAACAGTTTACCCCCGTCCTATTCAGCTAAATGGCAGTATCCCAACGTTTAATTTCCACCTCTGAGTTTTCGAGACAGTGGGGAGCTTCGGAATAGTGCGAACAGAGGAATGGAGCAAAAGTTGTTTTATTTTGATTTTAGATAATAACAAGCCACAAGATGAGCCTGGACACGAAGACACGGGCGACGTGGAAAAGGGGATAATCATTGGCTGTATCATAAGCGTCTTAGTTCTTTGTCTTCTTGTATTGTTCGTGTGTTGGAGTGGGTAAGTCTCAGTAAACTGATCTCTGCTCTCTCTCTACTCTCCTGATCTCAGGAGATTCTTGTACCTGGATCAGCCATGTTTTACTGAATATTTTGAATGTGCGTATATGATAATCATATACGTATCTTTGTATATTTCCCTCTGATCGATTCCTTAAAATCTCTGCAGATTACGACGACACAAGAAGCGCTCCCAAGCGAGAGATACGAATCCGCTAGTAAGAACCAGTCACCACCCTGATACGATAACCACTGACATCAGCGACCTCTCAACCAAACATCAACAAATTGTAAAGAAATTCATTGATCCAGGTAATCCAATGAAGATCTTTCCGAGTTGACTTTGAGAATATAGTGATGTCAAATAAACCAAATGGCACAGAGTTTTTTGTTTTTTTAATATGCATGATAGAAAATTTAAATGAAACAAAAAAGGAAATATTAATAAACTAAATTATTTCAATCTTTTTTTTTCTTTGTGTACGTAGAGACGAGTAAAGAATCCGATCGCGGTCTAGGAATGGTGAGTTGATAGGATTTGTTTCTGCAGATATAGGTTTTCAATTTACAGCATTTAATGGTTAAATGCCCCTTTATTACAGACGCCAAAAAGCAGTCGACAACATTTAGATAGTGAGAAAATACCGTTTCTTCCGAAAACAGCCAATCAAGATGGAAGGTAAATGTTAACATCTGATATTTTACATAATTGGATTAACGTTTTGTGTGGTCTTGATGAAAACAATCTCGTTACCTCTCGTTTAGTGTCGATACCTCTTGTGATAGCAACGATAGTGGCGTTCAAGGATTAGGTAAAAAAGGTAGGTCATGTTTTAGTTATTTTGGTGTTTGCCAACGTTGAAGCGAACGATTTACTTGTAAAGGTAGCAGTTAAAAAAACTTGCTATAAAACCATTTCTCTCCTTGACAGCGTCATCAGCTCAAGATGCGCCAAAGGATCCAGATAAAATACTGGTATGTTGAAAGTTTTGTTTTATAATGTAAATGAAGTAAGATCGGGTACATAGTGCTGACGCGATGGGGTTATCATAACGTCATAATGACGTCGTCATAAGTAATAAAATCGTCACAAGTGATGATGACATATATTTCTCACGTCAAGCAGATAGAAATATTCGTATAGATGAAACAATCGTCCGTTATCAATGTTTTTATTTTCTTTTTAAAGCACGGGCAAGACGATTTTATTGTCGAAACGAAGTGTTGACGTCGGTCGCGAGCGACTTCGTTGGCAAGTACCACACGCAAAAATATTTTTCTATACTGTATTTAGTATTTCAATATTTGACTGTAATGTCAGTTCGGTCTGTCCTACGGAAGCAAATTATATATTTGAAATATTTATGACAGAAATCCGCTAGCATTATATTCAATTTCGTATTAAAGTATGTTTTCGTAGAAAACAAGATTATTCCCTAGTCGTAAGAGTCACTTTCTATTTATTATGAAACACGTTTAGGTATATAGACTATGTTCATTAAATGTAAAACGCATGCATCACACGTTCATGTAGCTTATGAATGGGTACAGCCTGTCACAGTCATATTGCAAGCCTAAATGCATCATCCTTTTCATAATGACGTCAAGCGCGGAACGCCTGATATTAGTTTGATTGGCTCCGCAAAACTAACCAGCCAATCAAATACCGTGTATCATCAGACTCGCTGCGTCATAATGAAAAAGGTCTGTTTGAAGAACGAGTTGTATTGTAGTAAAGATTTGTTAATCAAACTCACACAGATAGATGGACGGATTTTAATCCACACCGGCATCTTTCTTAAACTTTCTGAGACTTTCTTACGAGTGTTAGTGTTATACTGCAGTGAGATTAAGTATCTTATGTCCCTACCAGGAAACTTTTGCTAAGAAAGAGTAAGCCTCAAATCTTGCTAACTGCAAACTACAATACAATTCCAGTTCTTTAACCATGTAGTAACCATAGAAGTACACATCATTTCCTGTAGAAAATCCAAAACAGTTTGCCGCCATTCGCTTTTCGTAAAAATTTTCCAGATTTTTTCCAGATTTTTTAGATTTTTTCTTTAAAAAGGTTTAGACGTATATGTACATGGTTACTGTGTTGTTATGTTCTCGCTATCATAGCCTGAAACGTTTTCCGTAGTTTAGTTTATCTCTTGAGTCAAGATATTGTAGTCGTTTTTGTTATAATTTTCCATAAGTTTGGATCATACGGGATCATATTCCATATATGTCTGGCAAATACCGTCCGTCCAGGTGCAAAGTGACTTTATTCAAAGTCACCTTTCCACTATATTTGCCAGACAAGCCTCGGTTGGTTTCGCAATTCGCCTCAAAGCAGTACTCGTGTTGCAGAAACTAATCTGCTTTAAGACTAATAAAAAATTCGCCATGTTTGTACAGATATTATTTAATACAAATTTGTAAATATCTTATATTATTCGCTATTATTGCATGCTCAAAGTTCATGAGTCATGTAAATGATTTTGTCGCATTGAAGACAAATATCGTTTGAACTCCTTCGTTGCAATAGCTTTCAATGCAAAGCCTTTGGTTAGAATTAACTGAATTGCGATGCATCATTTAGCATAGTCGTGAATTAAGACATGTAAATAAGAATAGAGTCGCTTTACGCCAGGCAAGTTTTGCTAAATATCATTGTATTGTGTTTTAAGCAAAAGACAAGCGGAACTTAAATCATCATCGCTCATGTATCGCACATGAAAATGCAGCGTCTGAGAACGCGAGTCCCCCCCCTCTCTGATTTTTAAAACAAGTTTGTCGCAAACACGTTTCATTGCAAAGATATGTAAAGTTTGCCCGGTGTAAAAGGTCTTGCGGCAAATATTTGAATTTTGTAATAAAATTGAATCTATCTTAATAAAAATTAATGAAATTGTCGAACTGTAGTGTGTACACACTCGTTATTTTATTCCTAATTTATTGTGTTCTACACAATTGTAAGACCACGCGTGATATACGGTTAATGAAATGAGAGATAGGTCTGTCCGCATGTTCAGCCTGCGTTTTGCGTGGTTAAGTAATAGACTAATAGTGAACTTAGAAATACAAGATTGTGAAAATTTGTCCAAGAAATCATCGTTTATTATCGATCACGTAATACAGCATGAGATGTTGAATACATGATTTATATGATTGTGAGAGTTCTACCCAAAGGAAACCTGTTGGGGATGGGTTGTCGGCATTTTCACATTGCATGGGAACAAACAAGATAGAAAAGTGCGATTAACTTACCCGTTCCTCGGTTGAAAACACTCCATTCGTTGCCTTGAGATAAACACCATTCATTTGGATCGAAAATTGCCTTCAAGAACCAAAACTAGTCGAAGTTATTCGATTTTAAGCGATAGAAATTCATTCACGAAAGCATGGAGCCTTCGTCATATTTGAATCAAACGATGAAATTCATCCTAAGCACAATAAGAAGGATTGCTTTGTTTAAGCCTGTTAGTTCAGGCCCGGGGCTTCCACTGGACCAATCAGACAACTGCAAGTAACAGAGGACTACTTTAATATGGTAATTTCTGTACAATCGAAGAGAATATTAAAAGTGAAAAGGCACCAATTTGCAGGTATTTTGAACTTCACACAAAGCCCAAATATACATATATTTGCATTAAATTCTTTGGCTATCAACTAGCTATAAATTATATATATACAAATGAATGAACAACTCCAAGATGCACGGAAAACGGTGATCTAAATGTCGTCCTGACGTCCCACTCGTAATCCCGAGATGTACAAATTTAAACTCTCTTTCTGGTGAAAATATTTGGTCAGCCTTTACAATACTTTAAAGAATCTGCTTCAAAAATCGTGATGATATGATGTCAGATAACTTTCTTTCATTTCACTTCAAGTATAAACCGTTTCACAGTATGGAGGGGGAGGATCGCTGCTTTTGGTGATGTTCACAACAAAATCATTGTTTGTGTCTGGTACAGTCACCTCGACAAAATGACGACATTGATGACGACAGCTTGCGTCGTTTCCAGTGCTTCGTGACGCGGTTTGCGTCGAAACATCTTGTCGCCATGGCGATGACGATTTCTTGCTGTCCTCTGCTTGAAGTATCTCAGCGGAGTGCTCGTCGTCCAGCGGTTGTTTCTCTTTGCATATGACGTCATCATCTCTCCGTTCATTCGTTATCTGAACGAGAAATTTATAAAGCGAGTTAAATAATTGCGACTTCATTGCGACTGTTTGACAGATGAAAAAACCTTACCCTCCTGATTTCAAGTTTGTGCGCCAGCAATATTGCATAAACAGCGGCACCGAAACAAGATACAAATGTTACAGCGTAGACACCACACATTCCATATGCCACCTCACGAAGATGTTTAGTGATAATAGCACAACTGACGGTATTCTCAAAATTGTACGTCACTCGTGAAGATGACGTCACTACGGAGCAGGCGCAAAGGCGTTCATAACTTGTGTATACACAATCGGAGAGCGCCATCAGACGGTTTGTCACTGTTATACCATAATGCACTGCGCCAATAGCGGACAGTATGCCTGATACAGTAGACGAGATCGTGGTCGTGATTATCTAGAATGAAAGATGCATTGTGTTCAGTGCAGAGCAGCTAATTGATGGGCGGGAAATTTAATAAAACAAAAAAAAACTTACCAAATATCGTTGTTTTTTGAAAACAAGAGACGCGAAGAGAAATCCACTGAAGACAGCCTGGAAACAGGAAGAGGCTATGATCAATAACTAACACAAGACAATGGAACTACCCCGAGACATTTTCTCTACTAAATCAATCAAGGCTGTTCTATCAAAAACATGACATACTGTATCAATGTTGTGATTTGTAGTTGGTCTCAGTTCCGATTGACTCGGCAGCGCGTGTTCATATCAGATAAGTTCGCTAGTTTATACAATAGCACACGTGCGTGAAGACCGATTAAGATCACATTGTGAACATATAATCTTTAGCAAATTTAAAAAATGTCAGACATCTTCCTTAAAAAAAAACCTATATTGAAAATCGTCAAAATCATCAAAATCGTGAAATAAACCAGTAGAAATTGTTGTTCATTGACCTCATTAATCCTCATTGTATTATATTTTAACTTATTGCATTGTGTTTTAACAATTTCTCTCAAGTTTCAAAGAACAGTGATTAAAAATGTTTTCATAGGGTTAGTCGTAATGGCGTTCCATAAGTACATATCGAGTATCACATGCATCAATTGTTGAATTAATGCTGTTATTTTTACAGACTCATTAAATTGTCTCAGACACGCACACACACAACGGCTGCTTGTCAACTCAATTAGGGTGAACTTCCTACACTTTGGGGATTTTTTCAGTATCAAACAGCTGATGGATCTCACACAGCGCTGAAACTGGACGCAATAATTTGGAGCGTGTGTGTTCAAATATTCGTTTCGCCCGACGTATATGCTTTCTCACATGCTATATAGTTTCGTTCCCCATTTTCATGTTTGATTTTGGAGTTCTTTTTAGGTTTGGTTTAACAGCTGCGGACAAGGCGCCAAAAAAATGAAACAGAAAATGTTCAATTGAATAATGTATTAAAAAAACAGGGGAATTAAGTCCAATGAAAACAACGGAATTCCACAGAGATTAGCAATTTGAAATTAATAATTGGGAATACGGTTTGTTTGAAGAATTGGCGTAAAAAACCTTAGACGACACGTGTGCTGTCAAACGCATGACATGCTTATCTAGTCATGCTTTAGTAGTGAAAGATTAAAAAGCTTAGGATATATGAAATATTCATTTAATATTTTTGGCCATCTACAATAAATACGTAAAATATTAATCTTTCGATGCAGTTACAATCTTATTCTGACAATCTTCAGGTAAAGAAACTTAATGGATGAAAGACGTTATCAAACGCGTGAACTAAAAAACGTTTTTGTCTGCTTGAAATGACCTTGTTCTTTTCAAAAAAAACCCAAGAAACCTATCCACTCTAGCTACAAGGAAATTAGTCGTGCATATGTGCTTCCTGCCAGTACACAAAAAGGAATCCCTGCATTTGAAACGTCAATTATAAAGCAATGATCAACAGACGTGTATTCTTAAATCGCTATCTGTTTCCATATGTCTTATCACTTTCGAAATCTTACATTTCAAACGCGGATGAAAAATTAGGATGAGCAACAATAGTTCAAGAGTTACCACCTGTTGCTACTCAAAACATAATAGTTCTTATAGTCTAGTAATATCCCTCAAGTGTGTTATGTCAAAACCTGACCAAAGCGTCGAATTTTTTTTCGCACAAAGTAGCAGATTAAAAGAAAATTGAAGTTCCAAACACATCCAATTTGGACAATTTTGTCTTAATTGATTCCATTCAGTGGCAATTTCGAGCTTTGTCAAGTATGATTAGAAGAGCAGGACTTGCATGACTTAAGATTTGGCGCGTGATTTCAAGTTTCCGTTAGAACCTCGTGGTTGTATATTTAGGTCATGGACTTATGGTACGCTCCCTAAGTAAAATCAGGCCACTTTGCCCTCGAGGAAGAATCCTCTGAAGAGTGCATGTGTCATCTACGGAGAATTTCAGGATTTTGGTGCTCGAGATTAGCAATAAGTGTTGACGTGGTGATACCCAAGGCTATAGTATAAATTTAAACAGCATAACTTCCTTGAGTGATCAACTCAACTCATAGGTCATAACTTCCTTGAGTGATCAACTCAACTCATAGGTCGATTCTCTGAAACCTCCCTCCCTCTTCAACACTGATAACAAAACTCGTACATTTACACTCACCAGCACTGAAGTTACTGCTGTCGGAATAGATGATCGTGTATGAACCGTCGACGTCGTAGTCGCCTCGATAACAAAGTGGCCGACAAGCAGAACAACGCCAAGGGAGATGACAAAGAGCCCATGAGCGCTAACCAAAATCTTCCGATCTTTTAAACTTATACACATTTCCACACAACGTTGAAGTTTTCTGTTCACTTTGGGTAATGCCTGACAAGACTCCTTTGCGTCTTCACAACGAGTGACCTCTAATGACATCATGCAATGAAATCCTAGAAAATCTTTCGCAAAATGTTTCACGTTTTGACCGAATACACTGTCAACAATATAATACGATAATCGTTCAACACTTGGAATATAAAATATCTTTAGGGTGTATCTGTTGAATGCAGCCAACAACCGAGCTTGTTGAAATTGTCTCTCTTATTTTCTTTATCTTCGCAACGAAGTGCTGCTGCATGCAACTGGTGAAATCAAGGTGACGTGTGGACTATATCGTTGCTTCAAATGCAAACAGATCAAGCCATGATAAACTACAACCAGACGCAAATGATGATATCTTGCATGAAATGAACTGTACGACAAGATGAAAAGATTGGCGCCAACGAGTTTGTAGCAGGACACACGAGACGTTGTTATTTAAATTTTCCGTATCCCCTTGTTTATCCGTAATTATTTTCCGTGTCCCCTTGAACACAGATTCAATTTAGCGTAGAATTCACGTTCCTGATCTAAACTTCTCCAAAAGGGAACATTGGCAAAACGACCACAAAGCTGTAGATATTTATCAGTTCATGAATACCCGAGGCATTCAACCACCTTTCTTTAGATACTTAATCCCACAAAAGCTGTTCTGTATGCTTAGGCTAACCAAACAAACGACCCATCAGTATTCAAATTAGAAACAAAAAACTTTTTGTACTCTTAACCCTGACTCCTTTTGAATTGTATTAAATTAAGATTTTAAAATGAATACTTCGAAACCAAGTTAATTTTGATAGAATATCTTCAATCCGCTCCCAGCTGCGTTTTGTTTGGATACAATAAGCGCCACGCGTAAGGTTGCCGTTATATTGAGAAGTATTCAAATAAGATATTTGCAATAAAAAGCCCCCATAGCGGTTGGCTCGTTACGCATGCCAGAATGATGGAGTGTTAATAAGGTATGATAATAATTAGGCTGTTGTATACAGACATGCATTGTGCGCGCTTTTTGTGTATTCACGTCCAGCACGTGTTCCCCATTATTTACGATCAATGGCGGAGATAATTGTCGCATAACATTTGCAAATCACGACGCGTGACTAATATGAAAAAGAAACTGTATTTCAATTCACGCAGTTGCATGCAATAGGTTTGTTGTGGACAGCGACCTTCTTAGGTTCAAATCAATTGTAGTATCACTATACCCTGTACGTATAACAGTTATCTACATTCTACCACGCTTGAAAACCTCTGGAGTGTTTTGTATTTGTCTTGTATTTTCACGATGTTAAACCGAGTGGAGTTAACAAAGCGAAGCAAACAATGCTTCACGTGCCAGTCCAATACTCCACAAACCGAGTGAAGAGATGAAGACGGCCTGGGAACCATTCGACAGAGTTCGACTACTTCGCTCCTGTATATCTCTGAAACCAATAAAAACTTGCCACTTATACTAACCTTCTTTCCACTTATCCTGAGCATTAATCCGCTCAAACCTCGGAATCTAGAAATATCTAATTCCAAATGATATTACCACAAGTTATAACTTGTATCAGCAACCACCCAATCCTGACTACGTCAGAAGTGTTTAATAATTTTACACTTAATTTTACAAACGTTTCTCTTTCTTTCAATGTAAACTGATTTACGGGTCATTAGTTGCCTTTTTATGTTAGGTTGAAGTATGTTAAATAGAAAATCCATATCTATTCCATAAGATTATCCTGATGGGAATACAGGGGCGTAATGAATTCTATACCTTAATCTATACTGTAGTTTATTTGTACTGAATCCCTTAATGAATGTGATAATTTCGTGTTTTAATGCTATAAATGCAATGGTTGATGATGAGAACTTATCTTTCCTTCAACTGAAATCAATCAGTGGCGAGAAAGTTTGAATATCCTTCGAACGATTCGATGAATTTCGCAAGAACTTCGTAACAGAACTGCAGTTGAAGCTATAAACATATAAAGAGCTTAGATTAATCCCCAAATCTGTATTGTTGATGGTTGTGAGTTGAGGATTGCCTTAGCGAAGGAAGATCGTTGTCGTGGCCGGGGGAAATGTCGTTTCCGTCGCAAAGGTTTCCAGTAATCCCTAATCTGCAGGGTTTCCCAGTCCTCAGAGAGGGTAGCACGGCCATTGCACCGGCAGCGTACATACCTCGTTTTCAACAAACTGTGGTCGATGTTCCCGGATCAGTTTAATACACTGGAACACGTCAACTCGTTGCTCGATTTTTAGTCTTTCCATGCAAATACTGATTGTAACGAAAGTACCCGTTCTGCCCGCTCCGTTCCTTCAAAAACAATACAACACTGTTAGTCAAAGAGACAACTCAAGCAAGAATGGAATTTTGCAGGAAGAAGCTATTTTGTTGGGAAGAACTAGCTGCATAGTATAAGACAATTTGAGAATAGCTGATATCACATAATGTAAACGAAAGATTGGTGACATAAGTTGGTTGACTAACCCGCAATGAACAACCATGGGTCCTTGTGTGTTCTTTCTTTGTGCAGTCTGGATGGTGTGTATGAGTTGAAGAATATCGTCTGGCTTGTCAGGAACCGTTCGTTTTGGCCACTGCGTGTATTGAAAATGACGAACAACATTTGGACTCTCGAAATTCTACAACACAAGAACAATCCTCCTGTGATTCTGCTCTGACTGTTGAACTCACTTACAAATTTATCAATACAAACCGAGGACATAGAGATGGAAAATTTTCTGAAGATAATTGCTTTATCAGAAACTTGTTCGTCGAGTCGGACGTAAAAATTGCCATATTTTGTGGTATACCCCTCCTCAGTTGGAAAATATTCTGTATATTTCTAAAAAACATCGATTAAAGAAGCTTTAGTGTTTGTTCTATAAGATTTACCATCGAAAAACTTTCTTATCACCTCGCGCCCCTCCTTCCAGTTGTTCAACATTACCACCAAAGGTGATCGTTGTTCATAAATCATCTGCCAGAAATCATCAAAGGTGTTGGCAAGGGGACAGTCGGTTGCTATGTACGCGTTTTTTTGTTGAAAACCCTAAAATGAGAGACACCTGCAGCGTTGAAGTCCATACTCACTTGATGTGCAACGTTAACTGATGAAACAAAGAGTCAGAACTTACATCAACAAACGTTGCATTGATATAATCAGAGCTAGATATACTAGATGACAACGTGACCCTTGCAAAATCAGCTAAAAAGCAATGATAAAAAGTTGACTTGTCTGTAATTTGATGGAGCAAAAGGCAACATGGAGAGCCCTCTCTCTCTCTATACGATGTCAGTTTTACCTGGACATATCTCCTTCGTGCGATTTTTACAACTGTTTCGATCTAACGTGGCTGTCTTGCATTCTTGTTTTGTGAGCACAGGAGAGAAACTTCTAAGGCGCTGAAAGGATGGAAAACGATAGCTTTGTTTTCATCTAAAACTACTGAAATGCGATTGTCAATGCGATTTTGTGAAAAAAAATAATAAGAGGATCAGCATTTGAAACAGAAAATGTTAAACCATTTTTTATTGGTACTCCAAGTGATTTATAGTGTTTTTCTATCTTTTTGACAGTTCAAAAACTCTACCTGGAAGATCTCTGCAAATCCTGTTTGTTTTGTCGACGGATTAGTTTTCTTTAGCTGTTGAATGGCATGTTCTAGAGCATTGCCCTCCAATTCATTAAACCCAAACAAAATAAACTCTAATATTGCCTCGTGAACCAGAATATATTGCTCCTACATCAAAAGAGAACGAAATCTTGACCGTGAAAATACGGAAAGAGTAATTCATGATGCACTACATACTCTACCTACCAATGTTTGAATCATATTAACTCTGCATTTTCTCATTTCCTGGACAATATGGAACACATCAACTGAACGTTGATCTTGATGAAAGAAGTTTTCTAAGGAATGATCTATGGCGATGAATGTCCCTGTTCGACCAACGCCAGCGCTTCAAAAATAAACAAAAACACGTAACTAACTAATACTGCATATCTGAATACCGCCTCTTATTAAACTTACCTACAATGGACAACTATCGGTCCGTTTATTTCAACTCCTGGTGACCTGAGTGCGTGTTGAAATGCTAGGAGCTGAGTAGGATATTTAGGTACACCGTGATCTGGCCAAGCGGTGAAGTGGAATTGAGTTACATATCTTTCGCTTTCATCCTAAATGCATGAATTTTATCAGAAAGTTATCGAATGTACATAACGAGTCCATAAATAACTTTACCAGATCACCACTCACCTTTTCCAAAAGAAATTTACGAATGACATAATATGGAAACAATTCTTTTCCCTGGAAAGTTAAAAAGATCTTCCCAAACGCTTTGGAAGATTCTGTCCAATATTTGGCACATTTTACCTAAAAAGATTTATTTTTAGTATTAGTTTAAATTTACCAATAGGTTTCATCACACAAGGAAAGCATTTATCATTTTTTGAATATCTACAAAATAGATATAAACCTTTTCTTTTTCTTTCAAGTTTGTCAACATGACAATAATTGAACATTCTTGTTCCCAAATCATTTCCCAAAAGGTCGAAACAGTTTTCGTTGTTGGCCCTAGAAAGAGAGAGCATTAGTTTTGCTGCATGGGATCGTGTTGCTTTATTTTACAATGTCTTGACAAAAAAGTCGTTGAAACAGTTTTAGTTATCAGGTCAACAATACCTTGTGTAGCGATATATGATCTTGGTTTAACTCCCTTTAAAATGATGAATATGAAGAGAAAAGAATGTAATTCGATCAGTATTTCAAAGAAAATAATTCAAGAAAAACATACTGTTATAAAACTAGCATTGATGTAGGAAACTTGGCCATTATCGGTCAACGTCACCAAGGCATCGTCATCTAATGAAAAAGTACGTCCAGGTTCAGTTTATATTATGGCATTTTGACGAAAAGATAAATAAACATTGCACATATTAAATTCGTTCCTTTCGCTTTTCGTTCTTCATTTATTTATTCGTCTGAGCATACTTACAAGACACAATGTTGCCGTATCTGTTTTTAGATTTATTTTCAGGACTTTTTGCAATGGTACAAGGATAACTTATCCCTTGGGGCAATTCCTAAAAGAAGAAACAGAGTTACCATGATAAGAATTTAAAGTAATTTCATCTGGAAGATTTTCATCTCATGGAATATTTCGTGGGCAAAACTGGCATGCAATCTTTGCACAATTTACAGTAGATGGACAGCGAGATCCTCAAAAGGTGATGACAAGGCACCATGACTAGATCGGTGTTGTTTTGCAAACCTTAAACTGATTATCAAATCCGAAATTGTCGTTCTTCTTCAAGTCTTGGACGTAACTCTGAAACTCCTCAGCGGGCACCATACGGAATGGATCACGAGTCTCTGTCACTGAGTAAAGAAGAGTGTGATAATATATTAACAACCTGCAAATAGTTTGTTTTTTGAAAATGAACCTTTTCCTTCGATAGATGTGAACGGCTGGATATAAGTTAAGGATGCTCACGAGAGGCGCTTTGACATTCAGAGCATCCAGAACTCTTCACATCTATCAAAAGCAGAAAATCGCATTAAGAAAAACATATTATTATAATCAGCAACCTTTCGCATTGCCATAAAGAGTGTCTGTATTGTCGTAGTTAACCGGGTTATCCCCGGCAGCGTCCGTTTCCGAGTCTGTGTCTCGGTCGCCAGCATCAAGATCGTCCATAGCCATGTACTGATTGCTGTCGTTGTAATTTTCATATTCCACTTCCCCTTGTAGGTTTCCAATGCTCTGGTTTCTCTCGATAATTTTGACACGACTGTTGGTCTTTTCCATTTTCTTTTTCCTGAAAACAACAAAATGGTAGTTACCTGGATCTATTTCTTGCAAAAGTGGAATGAACGTTGGTCCACAAAAGACTGCCATAAAGACACATGTGTAATTTACTTTCGCTTCAGGAGAAACAAAATAAGAAGAATTAGGAGAATAATAAAGATCACGGCGACACCAACTCCAATTCCAATCAGCGCTCCAGATCCTAAAAATTGGAAATGTGTAATTTTAATTCCTTTTATACTGGACATTACCAAACCATACCATACCCCACCTGGCGTACTAGTATCCATTCTTTCAGCATTTTCATTGTCCTTCGTGTTTGTTCTCACAGGCTCACACCATGAACTTGAGTAATACGTATCCTAAAAAACCCAACGCAAAAAATCCTCACCCTCCTCAACAATCAACTTGCAAGCCTTTACTAACATTATCAACCACACTGTATAGTGTCACCTGCACCTGTCTTCAACCTTACCTCATTTATATACGTTCGTTGAAATGCAGAATAAAACGCATCTGGCACCAAAGGTCTGTTGTAAAACAAGGTTGCTTTTAATGACCTGCTTGTTCTTTTATCTCCCAGTTCTTGTTCTCCATTTTCATCGTATCTCTTCGCAAAGATCTCCGCCTTCCGACGTCTTTTCTTGGTAAGTCGCCCATAATTCATTCCGTCTCCAATAACAAAAGTCTTGAGCTCATGAACTTGACCAACAGACATTTCTGCAGTGACGTAAGGTTTAAGAATTGGGGCTGTTTCGTTGAGCATCAAAATTTTGTCTGGTGTGTAATTGCGCGGATGTTTGGGAAGATGGTTGTCTTCAAGTTGCATCACAATTATCTGAACATATCTACAAAGAAAATACATTGTTTATTTCACTAATTCATAAATATATTTCATTTGCTTTGATTCCCAATTGAATGTTGATAGAAAGTTAAGAAACAAGATAGACACTTTTTAGCTTTAGCTAGACCTGTGTGTCAAAACGTTAAAAACGTAATCCCAAACAGACCTGAAATCTCTTTTCGGTTGCTGAAATTGCACGGCAAAGGAATTCGCTGTCGTATTGACATCCTCAGATTGATGAAAGTCGCCTAAAAAGCCCAGTAATGACAAATGACAAAAGCATTCGTGGATTATGTCACTGTGGAAAATTATGGAAAGGGACATGTAACAAATGTCCACGTTTTAGACGAACGTTTTCCTTGTAAACCTTCAACTGCGAAAAGAAAATGGACTAACCTGAACTAGTTATCATCCTATATTCTTTGGAATATGGACCAGCACCTGCCGTGGTATTTGCCCGAATTCTGAAGTAGTAAACAACCCCAGGTTCTAACTGTTGTAGCGTCGCAGAAATCTCACCGGTGTTAATATGTGAAACGTTTCCCATAGCAGAGCAATTGTTTTGTAAATTCTTATCAGAGTAACACAATTGATATGATGAGATGATTCCATTCTGCTGGTTTGCTTCTGGTCGTAACCAACTGATGCGAACACTAGTAGAATTAAGGTGCTTCACATGGATTCCTGTTGGTGGTCCACTTGGTGCTGAAATTAAAATAAAATTGACAACTTGACCAAACCAACAAGTGCCACTATGTTTAGCTCAGCAAGGCCAACCGAACGTATGAGAAAAGACATTCTTAATACAGGATATCTATTATATAAAATGAGTAAAAAAGTACCAGCTTGTTTGGTTCGAAACATGAACTCCAAGTTGCCATCAAAACAATCCGTTAAACCAATTGCTTTTACTGTGTAAAAATATTGGCGATATGGCGACAAGTTTGGTACGAATACAGACGTTAGTTCAGTAGAGTTGAAATATTGGGTCTTCCTGTCCTCTGTTTTTACAGTCAATGAATAATTATTGTGTAGGGTGTTGTTTTTCGGAAGTCGTAGCCAGAGCCATGATATCCACACAGAATTGGATGTTATGCTTTCAGCTGTGATGTTTGCTGGATTGCATCGAGGTAACTCTAAATAACATTTTAACATAGTGAATAGGAGCGTGTTAAAAGTTAAAATTGCATGTTAAGTGATAAATAGCTTTACACTTACCTTGTCCACAGAGTTCAACGCGCATGCAAGGAGCGCGTTGCCATGTTTTTGGAATAAATCTGACCCTCTCTGCGTGGATGGCTGTGTCTAGATCTCTTCTTATGACATTGTGAGTTTCATCATTAGTGTTACCATATATTATCTGAAATCATGCAAGAAGCGGTCACGATTATAACTTCTGATTCATTGAGATTAAATGAGAAGGAAAATTACATCAAAGTCTCATCAGCTTTCTTCAAGAATTTAAACGGAACTAAAAATTGCACGGCCTCACTGAATCTCTCTCCGCGAACTGTTTAAAATACCCATCGAATCTTGGGGTTATTTCATGGATTTAATAACAATATTATTATCGCTGCGCTCTAGGAACCAGGAACTGTTCTTTTGCACAGTTTTTAACTCTACTATTCCCTACACCATCCAGTAATTCCTGCATTTCGCAAACAACACGCTTTTCTTATTAACTAAAAATTAGTAACCAACAAACACAATTCTTATTAACTAAAAATTGGAGATTGAAGTTGATACCTCTTGTGTCCCAACGGTTGCATATTTCCACGAGTATCCATTGACCCTGTAAGACAGCATATATGACGTCACGTAACCCAAATTTGTTCCTCCGACAGTAGCAACTGCCGACAAGGAGAAAATTCCTGGGAGATTAATCTCGAGGTATTGATTCTTGTCAGTATTGCTTTCGGGTAGACACCAAGGATGAGTGTTGTACAACCGCGCTGAACTGGGACCAAAATCTGGATACACTGCTGCACTGGCGTTGAACACTGAGTTTGGGAACGAGGCAACGTCTTGAAGAAGGCTATTGCGACAAATGGAACCTGTAATGTTAGAAATTTTTCTTTTTGAAATGCTTGATAGACTCGCCCAAATGAAAACATTTTATTCAATATGGTTGAAGATATTTTTGTACAGAATTCGACTATCCTTCTTTGTATTATTGTATGATCATTATTGCCTCATCTTTACTTACATTTTATGTACACATCCCAGTGATGTGAACAACCAGTGTTTCCCCAGTTATCATGTGAGCAGAACACCAAGGATTTCGAGTCATTCTGACAGAAAACGAATCTTAACCAAACCTTTCCAGTGGCGACAGGATATTTCCAAATACCATGCTCTACCACGTCATAAAAACCAAGCTCCCGACATGCAACTCGGGCATCCGCATCTCTGAAGTAACCCTCGTCGTATCCACAAATTGTCCCCCAGATCCCTCGGTGAAAAACTTCAACTCGACCCATAAGAGGAATATTGGAACCACGTAGACGGATGTATGGTTGGCCTACAAGATTCAAAGATTGTTGAGAATTATCCAAACATCACCAGGTCCCTATAAAATGCACACTTACATGTTACACTGACTGCATTCTGCTTCTCACAGGTTTTCTTGCTATCAATTATCCGAGGACACTCCATTAAGGAACCCTCAGTGCCCAAACAATTGTGTGTTTTCTCAAAAGATGAACTATCGCTTTCTCCAAAGTAAGAATTATTCCAATGTCTTGCATCAGCACCAATGTATCCTAACTGTACACATGCAACATTCGCATCATTAAAGGACCACTTAGAATCGCAAAATGTTGCTCCTTTCTCCACGATGCGTCCTTCGTAAGGATGATTTGAACCATCCAACTGAAGTTTCGTACGATTTTGGTTCCCTGGTAAATATTTAATCAAATATTCACTAAAAATGACATTACGAGTGTCCACTTGTCAAATTTACCAACTACGCATCAACCAACTGGCAACTACAGATACACAAGGTGATTGACTAAATCTACGCGGATATTTATAACCTACAGAAGTTTGTTCTAAAACAAAACTGGTTTACAATGAAGCGGACTTAGTGGTTCCGCAGCAAAAGATAGTACTACTCTATATCTGGCCTAAACCATCTCAAATTTCTTTTGATCTATCCAGAAATCTTCACTAACCAGAGTAACCTCACTAACCTGACAACTATTTAGCCAATGAACGTAACATCGTACATACCTAAGATACCAGTACCATAGACCTCGACCTCACACAATGTCAGTATTTTCCTATCTCCTGGAATTAATATCGTCACATAACGACCAACCACTCCTGCAGGCTCACACGAGACGATACCATCCTAAGAAAAACGTTTTCAAAACGATGCATGTGTGTACATTTGCACTGATTGAAAAAGATCAAGAAAAACTTAAAATTCATTACCATATTCTTTGGAATATATTGCTGAGCTCCACATCTCGTGTTCGTAGTTCCGTTATTTCGCAAGCTGTCTCCAATTCTTATCTCAAATCCACAAAGTCTCTCGCCGTGGTAGTTTCTATTTGTTATTTTAACATTGGCTACTAAAATACGTTGCTGTAATTCCACTCGCCACCACGGATTTGCATCTTCACCTGTATGAGTACATGAACGAGAGTTGTAGTTCTTCCATGCTTTCCCATCTACAGCTCTTGACGCACTTCCACCTTCCTCGGTCTTCGATTGACTTGTTGGTCTTTCCAAGGCAAAGTTCTCTCCTATACATGAAGGTTTAAACAACTGTGTATCAGTGCTTGGGATACCACAGCAAGAACAGATGCAAATCTATAAATCTTAAGGCAGCAAGTAATACATAATGTTTATAGTGTAGGAATGTTTTTTATATTAAAACGGGTGAAAATAAATGACTTTATCAATTTATATTAAACACTGACATCATGCTCGTCCTCGACCTTGAGAAGGGAATATAAACCATAATTATAATATGTCTTAAACTATACCTGACAGTGTTGTTTTCTCTTTACAGGAATAGTTAACAATGATGTAAATACCGGATCCTCCACAAGGTGGAGGACGTATAGTTGTACTTGGATTTAAACCACCTGGCCATGACTTCCCCTCTATCTTCTCACCAACCGCACAAAATCCATCTGGAGCGGTACAGTTGGTTTGAGGATGCGTATTACACTCATTCCGTCCCACCACGTGACCATAAATGACGTCATGCACACGAATCGTTTTCGGGCTACTGCATGTAAGTCGTTTCCATCGACAAAGTATCTCTAAGATATGAAAAGAATCGTAAAGCTATGAAAACTAACTGGTCGGAGTGTTCACGCCATGGAATAGTTAGCTGGAGTAGGCAGAAACGTTGATAATTCATAAAAAGTACTTATTCACTTGACCCAGATATTGCACTAGGAAGTGAATCCAGTATAAGAGTTCGGGATCAAACCCAATTTTTAATAATCTTATTGATTAATAATAAGGATCAGTCCAAAACGAATGGATAAGCAGTGAATGCAAACCATTTGCTCCATTAATTGTCTATTTATTAACCCGTTATTCTAACTGGTTCTTGTTGTTTCTGGCTTGAAGGTCTCAGGCCATTTCGACCAACATTCAGTCGGTAAACAAAGGAACGAGCAATCATCGACGAATTATAAAATTTGCTTAGAATTACGGATCTTATTGATTGTATTCTTGTATGAAATGAATCACGATTTCTGATTCTTCGGTAGCACTAATCAATGCTGATGATAATGGCCAACTTAAGTCTCAAGAAGATATTTCCGTGTTGTGAAAAAGATTTCATAATATCATAATGGTCACGAAGGTCAATTTTTCCTTCGCCTGCTTTTGTTGAAGCTCATTACATAAATTACATTTCGCAACAAAGGACATTCTTTCCATACCTTCCTTACAAGAACACCAAGACATCCAGACACATATCAGAACCAGAGCGTGGACATTTTGCCAAAATCTCGTCCGCATTTTGTAACCACGAATTAGCCGGCTCTGTCAATAAACTTGGAGTTTGGGTTTTGGTCGAGGGTCGAGAGTCGAGGGTAGTAAGTCGAGGGTCGAGAGTGAGGTCGAGGGTGAAGTCGAGGGTAAGTAAAGTCGAGGGTCGATTTTTATCGCATTTTACAATCGGCAATGTCGAGGGTGAAGTCGAGGGTCAATTGTAGAAATTCACAATTTGCCTATACTAATATTATATTGTTAATAATATTAATATTATATTATTAATATTATTATTGTTAATATTTTCTTCTATGCAATATGCGATACAGCGTAATCTATACAAATTACATGTTACAAGTATACATACAGATTACAGTTGCAATTTATGAATCTTTGGGCATTATATTTCACAAGTCAGACTTCCAAAACGGGTTAAACTTATTAATTAATTCTCTTGCATGAACATCTTGCCATCTTGCGGTCTCACTTTTTTGTTTTTTGATTCCTGTGTCTTAATAATATCCGAGTTGTCACCTCGAATTGCCGACATAGTGGTGAGACAATGTGCCTGTGGTGTCTGTTTTCACTTTACTGAACTCTTGGCTTGGTAAATACAGCTTTCTATCCGCTAGCGAATCTTTCTACTCGAATCTTTGTTGGACTAAAGATAAATATCGTGAATACGAAGCAGTTCGATAACTCGAGAGACGGTAATAAAAAAGTCCTATCCTGAGTCCTAGATATTATACTGTGCCTGCATTGCAGTTTGAAAAACAAGCATCGCAAGTCGTAACGCGTAAATAGCAATGCGAAAATAACAAATATATCACATTCTTCCTATGGCTATTTTACTCTTTCCAGTGAATTCAAAACAACATTGTAACATGCAACTGTTTGCAGAACCGGTGAGCTGCCTGCGTTATTCACATGCAACACTTATAATAGTTTCGGACAATAAGGCGGAAAATATATTACCCTCGACTTCACCCTCGACATTGCCGGTTGTAAAATGCAATAAAATTCGACCCTCGACTTTACCCTCGACTTTACTCTCGACCTCACTCTCGACCCTCGACTTTCTACCCTCGACCCTCGACCCTCGACCAAAACCCAAACTCATAAACTTGCTGTAAAGACTTCCGCCTCATCAAACGGGAGTCCACTCTTTGATCTCAAGTCTCACACCTACAAAATCGGTCCTTAACACTTTTTTTTCACTGATATTTATTTCTCCTCTCGACCTTCACCCGATTGTACTCTGAATAACCTTCAGATCTTAACTTGATTGGTCACAAAGCAATGTTTCAACACTAAATACAAATGGGAAATTTCAAATTTGTTGTAATTCGAGACCGTCGGAGGCACGTCAAATATTTTAACAAACTTTATCAGTAGGAAATCGTGTCAAGTTCAGAATTTCAGTAAAGATTTCGTTCGTGTCGTCATAGAATTCGCAATCTTCATTTGCTGTGTTGTAAACTAAAATAAACTGGCGTAAACTAAACGTCTCTGTTATGGACTCCTTCAACCATGATGAACTTCATATTGAATAAGTCAGGCTTCGAAATATGGATTACATCCGATATAGCGTTTATTAAAATTCCAATATTACCATAATTCATAAAATAACCGTCAGGCATAACAAATACAATTAGTTAAAGGGACTTAGACATGACAATAGATGTCTACAGTTAAAAAAAACGTTAACAAAGGTTAAAAGCATTATATAGGGAGTTAAGTATATGAATGAATAGTCGTTAATATATATAGGATCTATATTACTTAGTCAAAATGTATTATACATGCATTATGCTCATTATCAGTTAAAAATCGAGATTAAAGAAAGGTAAAGTTAGTGTTTTAACAGGACTAGAAAGTACTGTGATTCATATAGAACCAATGTCAGGAACCATGCACTGCAGAACCCTCTATAAAAATAGTTGGCACTAAATTTTAAGATGTTTTCAGTATCATCGAGCTTAATGTTTTGACAAAAGCGCCGTAAATGGCCATTACAAATACAACTGTCATTCTATGTTTCCATGTTTAGTCCTCGTGAGCGTTTGTAAATCAAGTCGATATTTAAGGATACAATATTTATTTTTTTTGTACTTTTGGAATATTGTCGTATGTCATGAATGATTCGATAAAAGTCACCATAGCATAATAGCAAAACTTGTACTGTTCCTGTAAAAAAAACAGAAGAAAATACATTACAAACTCAATCACTGCCACTGGTTTTATCGCAATGGGAATTTCACAGGCCAAAGAAGGGCAACTGATATTCACAATATCGAAGTCCCTAACGACAGACTGTAATACGCACAAGTCGTAGTCTCATAGACGTGAATTTGGTTAAGATGCTGGCTTGGGCTCATCAGACAGTTTTCTTTTTCGATTCTTCCTATAAACTCACTGATTCTTAGAAAATTTTACTACCATTGTTATCAATAGCAAGGAGTGCACTACGCCAGGGTTTCATTTGTGAATTAATTAGTTACGTCGAAATTCACAGAAAGAGACAGAATTATTAAAGTAGAATACAAAAGGTATTTAATTGTCTTGATTATAGGCTTATGAGCCTCCATACAGGAGCCCACAATCCTTCGCGTTCAAATTTGCTAAATATTCGTTCGTTGGTTCTGGTAACAGTAGTGGACACTGTCTTACCAAATTCCCAACAAATTGCGGGCGCTGTTCCCTCATCATTTTGATACATCGGAAGATGTCGATCACGTGTTCAGTTCTCACTCGTTCTCGTTGAATGGCCAGTGTTAAATAGGTTCCAGTCCTTTGGGCGCCGTCACTATGGAAACAAACAATGGATACGGCTGTTCAAATGCCTATGACTTTAACAAAGATGATGGAAGACGATAAAGATGGTGATCGTTATGAAATTGCATGGTAGCTATTACCTACCTACAGTGTACTATCACAGTACCATTTTCTGAACGTTGTTGGGCCTCCTCTACACTATCCAATAGATCCATGACGTCACTGTGGTTTCCAGGAACTCCATGCTCTGGCCAATCAGTGAACTGAACATGTCTTACAACGTGTTCAGCGACCGCAGCTTTCTATTTGTAGAATAATATCAGTTAACCATAATCGCATCGAACTCTCCTAGAAACATGATCTAACATGACATACCGTGCTTTTATTTGTGATAACAAATTTCCGAGAAACGATTGGTCCTCGAGTTTCAGCAGACACCATCTTGACAAACAGATCACCATATTGTTGTTCTTCGTTAAATTCGTCTGGCCAATACTGTGGGTAAGTCTAATTGTTAAATGGTAAGAAATAGGGTAGTTAGAGGTGAGAATATAGCCGAGGTAATAGATGGAACTAGATAAATGTTACCATTTTTCCTTCGCTGGTGTCATTTAACATCACAACAACAACAGTCTTCTTTTCAAAAACCATCTTCCAGAAGTCGTCGATGGTGTCCAAAAGTGGAGCTTGCGTAGCGATGTAAGCCCGAGCATGAGTATAACCCTGGAAAATAGAACGAGAGACGATTGAATGTAATGAGTTCAATGAGACTAATTTACGATTGAACTGGATAAAGCACATTCTCTAGTCTATGCCAGGGCTAGAAGATCTGTCATCTAAACTGATTTATGTTTGAAAAACATGGTAGCATGACCTAATACTGCGGAGTCTCTAATGTGCAAAGAATTCTCCTTTCTTGAGCTGTCGATACTTACATGAACATAAGTGGCATTGATATATGGATCTTCTTCTTCCTTAGTTCCACAAATGAATACTCTAAAGTTTTCAGCTACAAACAAAGCCAGCATTATGAGCTTTTCTTACGCAAAAAAAACAATAAAGGTAAAGTGCATGGAAACAAGACCTTACTCGGGTAAATATTGCTGACGCGATTCTTCGATTTGTTTTTCTGGAGCAAGGCTGACTTGCACTCATCTGGAGCGAGTGGATAGGTAACCGAAGCAAGTTTCTAAATATACAAGAAGAAAGGGGAGTTTAGGAGGTAATGGCGTAGTGCATTCATAAAAGAAGCTTGAAATGAACCTACTTTGAATTCGACTTCAAATTCAGATATTGATTTATTCAGTTCTTTTTGCTGAAGTCGTTCAATTTCAGTTTTTAAATTTTCAGCCGTGGTTTCAGTGAAGCCACAGAGCACCGTCTCGAGGACAGCATCGTGTAAAAATACGTATTGTTCCTGCAAATTCAATACAGAGATGTAAATAGTTATCATACACCTCACAAAGAAGTCTCGAGTCCTATTGACTTCCTTTATACACCTGAGGCTGTCGTCTTCTGCACCAGGGCTCTCTCAGCCAAGCTTCCCTACCCCTATAATTCCCCCAATATACTGGTGCTTCCCCTGTTATCAATGCCGGTTACGTACCAACGTCTGGACCATGTTAACTCTCTCATTCCTTAGCTCCTTAACAGCATCGTGAATGTTGATGGTATTTTCTTGTAGTGTATTCACACGAAGCAAGGTGATGTCCAAGGCAATAAATGTCCCCGTTCTGCCAACTCCAGCACTGAAAATGAGGACAGAAAATATCGTTGTTAACACAGGTTTTGCCTGACTATTGTTTGAAAAATACACGATGAAGAACACAAGTTCTTGTTACCTGCAGTGAACAACGATAGGCCTAGTGCTGACTGTGTGCAATGCTCTGAAGCGGTGACGGAACGCAAGCAGTTTCGTGGGATATTTAGGTACACCATGGTCAGGCCAGGATATGAAGTGATATTGGACAATTGTCTTGCCTTTACCATCCTGAGAAAACATGCAAACACATACTAGATACCATGTTATACTAATATTTTGGAGAAATGAGCGTTTTCTCTCGAACTACACACGGAGTATTGCAACTCTCGTGCAACTCTTGTTCTCGATGAAAACATGATAAACCCTGATCTTGCATTTTAACTCTCTACAACTGCTGAACTACTTGTTTCAGCGCTGACGATTCATACCTTTTTCAAATCAAGATAGCGTATAACGTAGTCAGCAAACAATCCTGTTTTGACTGTCTTCACATGAATGTCACCAAATGTAATTTCTTTATCGGGCCAATATTGAGTGCACTTCACCTAATCATCACCAATATAACAAGCATCATTCAAATCACATATCCGTCCCTTCCGCTACAGTTTATGAAGAATTACAAAAAAGGCAAAAATACTCGCCTTGCCAAGTTCAACGACGTTCGTCAAGGCGATGATACAAGTGCAGTCTTGTTCCCATATCATTCGCCAGAAATCATTCACTGTTTGGTCGGTTGGACCTTAAAATGGAAAAAGTATTGATCACTGAAGAAGAGAGTCCCGAAGCAGACATCAATCAGAGTGTAGAAGTTTACCTTGGGCAGCGATATAAAGTTCTGATTGTACTCCCTAGGGAAATACAGAGCTTGTGGTTACAGAGTATACATGCAGCAAATATTATGTTTCCATACGTGGAAGAAATATAAAACTATGTACCTTGATGAAGTTAGCATTGACATAATCTTCCTCCCCAGACAAAATAACTCGGGAATGGTCATCTAGAAAGAGATACGAAAAAGACATGAGTTTGTTTGTTTGAGTCCATTTACATCAAGTTCTGCTCAGTATGAAAATGGCGTCTAAACCGGGCCTTAATACTCAGAATGGAATCAAGGCTGCATGAACTTACAGGCTGCATTGTTGCTGTATTTGTTCTTTTGGACATTCCCAGCTTTTCTCCCGACATCCCAAGGATGAACTTGGCCAACTGGCAAATCCTGAAACAAGGCAAAAACATGATCTATGCAACAAAAAAGATCTCAGTAGAAGAGGGCGCTACATTGAGTTTTATTGTAGCCTCTCTCACGCTAAACATACGGTAGAAAAGAGCATTAAATGTAGTCAGGCGTTTTGTTAAACTGTTTCTTCTGCAGCATTTGACTGCTACGTGCTGCACAGTTCAACCTGTTGTCATTCTGTTGTAATTGCCTTGAAATCATATTGAAAATTGATCAAGAAGAAAAGAGGTTATTACTTCGAACTCTTTTTTAAATCCAAAGTTGTCATTCTTCTTCATTTCTTCAACGTAGAAGAGAAAGCGTGTGATCTTTACACCGTTGCTATTGTCGTCAGGAGTAATCCCTGATGAAGAAAATATATTTCAAATCAATTTCTCATAATCATTTTCCAAAATCATAGGCTACATGATCTCAAATGTTCCCAACCTTGTACATTAGCGTAGGTATCAGTTTGTAAACCATTCTGTTTGTTTTCACCGCCTTCACTCTCTGTTCTGTGCTTTTTCTTCACGGGCTTGGCATATACGTCACCTGAAGGAGCCTAGATGAACGGAAAACATTCAAAAACCTTCACCGAAACCAGAGTGATGTATTTTTGTCAATAGGAAAACCAAAAATAAAGTAAATGAAATGAAATGAAAACGTCAGCATAATGACATTATCAGCCAGCAAATTTCATCATTAACATTTGATAAAAAATAAAATCAGTTATTTACTGTAATGGTGTTTTTATTTTCTTCACCCATGTCGGACGAAGGCGGGTAATTCTCTTCTTCCACATCCAAACTTTTCTTTTTCTTCGTTTTTTTGAATTCCACTGGTTTATCATAGAGACGGTCGTTGCCTGAACCGTTCCCGCCACGTCTTCGCCTTGAAAAAATAAAACAATGATGGATGAAATGATGGATGAACACCACATGAAATCCAACTATTCGTGAGCATATCATGGACCTGTACAACTGTTTATGGGGGATGCAAAGCATGCGTTGGTGAGAAATTATTATTTCTATAGACTACAGTCCTACTTAAGTATTATATCTGTATAAGTATTTTTCGTTGCAATCTGAACAAAATTAGTTATACTGAGCGAGATGAAGTTTGCGATATAGTCTGTTATTTACGGAAGAAAGTTTTCAACCTGACATAAATGATGATAAAAATAACCAATATAATCAACAAAACACCACCTCCTGCGCCAGCACCAATTATTACTAAATAAAGATACAATGGATAAAATAAAGACCATGTACATTGTGAAGATTAAACAAACCTACTCCTCCTTTCGTCTTATAGATGCATGTGTCTCAAATGAAGACTTCTTTACCTGTACCAGGTCCCTCACTGCTGTCACCATCTTGTTCTTCATCAAGTGGACCACCGTTGCCATCACCATCCCCTCCCACGGGCTTTGTGGTTGTATGGCGTGTGGTTGTCTCTGTTGCGATAGAGTTTTTAGTTTGGGATTTAATTGTAGTTGGAGATTTATCTGTTGTAACAACATCCATCCAGTCTGAATCGTAGTACAAATCCTAGACAAAGATCGTAGAAAACATATTTTCTTCATTTTATAAAAACGGAATTAATTTGACTAGTCGTGAAGGTTTACACCGATGTCGCGTATTCTTTTACACAACGAGAACGAAATCCATAAAAGACTAAATAAATTCAGATTCTGTTCCGACGTAATATGTTTGACATCTTCTGCGATATCTGTAAACATTAAACTATAAGAAGTTAGAATATGACTTACCGCATTTCTAAACGTTCTTTGAAAAACAGAGTAACCTGTGTCTGGTTCTAATCTGGCATTTTTAAACGAAATATCTCTTCTTGTCCTAGTAGTTTTAGAGTATGATTTACCATCCCCAACAGTAAAAAGACTATTTTCATTGACGAAGGTTTTCCCAAGCTCAGCAGCTATATATGGCTTAGTATTTGCAGTGTTTTCATCGTATGGTTGAAGGTCGTTTCCAGGATGTTTGGTTGGTTTACTGTTAGTTTTGGCTACAACAATTTGGATGTATCTAAAGAAATGATCTAACTATGAGTTTGTAAGGATTTCAACAATAGAAAAATATTAATTTTTGTTGGTCATACCCTTCGTCGCTTTGAAGTTTTCCCAACTGAATTTCGAAGGAAGTTGCGGATTTCTTTCCAGTATTTTTTAGTGAGGCTGAAATGCAAAAACACTGAAATTAAATTCATAAACTATTCAATATAGACTATAGATATTATTCCTGGGTGAATTTCCTAAATGGAAATAAGGGGGAGTACGTAGTACGTTAATAAATTTACACTACACATATAAATAATACATTTAAACCTGAACGAGTGATGGCTATTTTATGTCGTTTTCTACCAACAGTTCTCTTATCATCGCTGTATCGAGCTACTGTTATTTCATATGCTGTTGCCTCCTGCAGTCCGGTTAGCCTTTTGCTTGCTGCACGTTCCTTGTCGCTTTGATCAACAGATAGCACTAAAGTTTCTCCAACTTTCTTCCATGATACCTTAAACTTTATCCACTTGCCATTATTGTTATCGTTCGACCAGACTATGAGCAGGACATTTCTACCTTCGACTGTGACGTTCAGCACGGACGGAGCAGCTAGGATATATGAACGAGAAAAAGGCATTATTATTAGAATTTATAATAATAGAACTAGTAAGTACAATTGTCGATTAGGCTACTTGTAGATGGTTGGTTCGAGCCTTCGAGGATTATAAATTTTTTGAGCTTTGAAAGCGCAGAGTGAAAACTAACCAACTATTTCTTGATTTTTAATTTGTAAAGGTGCATGTGTTCCAAACTCCTTTCCAATTTTATAATATTCTTGTAATTCCACCGACAATGGCCCAGGGTGTTAAGACGAGAAATAGATAAAATCTTCAAAATACCTGGAATCTTCCATTTACAAGTGTAGCGGACGAGCAAAATTGTGTTTTCATGACAAGGTGTTTGCAAAAAATCATTCTGTTTGACAACAAAAGAACATCTCTCTCTTCCATCACACTTTTCTTTCGTCGCCATAGTCGCCGTCATTGTCACACATTTGGTATTACTTGAGGAAATTGCGAGAGGATATCGTTTTCTCATTTTTTCGCCGTAATTTGCCCAAATTATCTCGATAGTTGAACACGACTCACAATGAAAAGATGCGTTTTCGTTTTCCTGAAACATTCTTTCATACACTGAAACGTAATACAAGACCACGGAGATAAAAAGTAGCGAACAGCTCATAGCACAAGATACCAGAGCACTGGAATATGAGTTGAATGAGTCTGGTCACTAAATGAAAGTAAACTGGGCAAACCTACTATTATGGAAATAAGGAAAAAAGATGAAGGGAAACTAACGAGTGACAATTATTCGGCGATATATCAAAATTTCCGTAAACCTGAAACGAATTCTTACCGTAACTAAAGTTACACACATTGTTTGTGCCGCAGACAGATCTTTGGATGGAAACTCTGTCATTTTCCCGTGGTTCCAGGATAAATTTGCTTCCAATGCATATTTCATATATTTTTTTACTGTAGAAATATTTCAAATTGCCATTTGTTGTTGATCGAAATGTTACACTATCGCCGTTGCAAACTTTGCCACCCGTAAGGACCAGATTAGCATTTCCAGGATCATTGAATGTCCTGAAATAAATCATAAAACCCATGCAACAAATATATAATCATTTGTATAAATGCATATGAAATGCAGGGTTAAACATGAACTTACGCAGGTGGTAAAACACATTTTCCAGAAGCCAGATGAAATGGTGGATGATCGTATGAAACTAGAAAGAATGCATTTTTCGACGTGCAATCCCGTGACCACACGAGAGTGACGAGGTCGCTCTTCACGTTTATACACAATCCATTAGAATGTCGAATTGGACCATAATCTAGACATGAAGACATGATAATAATATTCGAATATGATGGGTCAGAGAGATGATTTAAATAGATCAATATTGAGTTTCGTCAAAGGGAGTAGATCAGTTGCCGGGTATTCAAATGGTATAAAAATGTCCTTGGACAAAAATGTAATTTGTGCATTTTGAGCATAACTCAGGCAGACAGGAACAACATATCATATGTAATTATATCAACAAATTGTCTCTGCTAATTCAAAAAAGTTGCTAAAGGGAAGATATTTTTTAGGGTATATCAATTTTATGCATGTGGTAAACTAAGTATAAAAAAATCGTTGTTTATCAGACCTCGGAAATGCATGTAGTATCGGTCGAAATCTTATTAAAGAAAGTTATTTAACTAACTTAACTATTACTAACGTATACGCCGCATCAGAAAAAAAGGGCTTTACAGTTATAACAGCCGAAGATGTAAGCTAAAACATGGATCATTTTACGAAACAATATTGCCAACCTGTGCAAAATATTGTCTACTTTTCTATTTCACTCCCGTTAGTCTTAAAAGGTCTTAACTGAAAATTCCTGTGCACTTTAAAACTGAAATATCAACGTCAGTGTTGGAACAGAATTGCCTATTTTGTGACAATTCAAGAACCAATTCACGACGACAATAACATAAATATTTAAAAAAGGATCCATACCCTTTTCTCGGAAATAACACTTGGGAGTCGTTGAATTGTCATAACAGCAAGTTGTGGGACAAGCTTCAGCCAATGAGACACCATTTCCACATTCAGTTCTCTCACTTCCTGGCGTTACTTCACATAACAGCACTAAAAGAAGGACGTTTAATTCTGTTAAACTAAACGACAAAGCAAATCATGGACTAAGTCTATTTAAGAGAATGATTGATTCATCAATTACACAGGTTACGTCCTGTGATCCAGTTAAATTATAAGTCTCTCGAAGGGTCAAACGAGTATGAAAGATGAACCACGCGTTCATTAATGGACTAAGGGGAAAATTTTAGTGAACTTTTATGATAAAATCTGCTTTCGCTGAATGACCAGGCTGTCATTCTTTAAGGCACATGATCTGTCGTACACTGGCAATCCGCCATGTTGGTGATTAATTGAAGAACGAGTAATATCTTTATCGGCATTCAGTTTTGAAAGAGTTTGTTTTGAAATTGCTTCCGTGTACGTTTAGACCCCATCGCTTTCACCCTAATTCCGTTCCCCGAACGTTTAATTACACAGCAAGATATTATCTAACATCATTCAACACACCAATGAACATAAATGTAACCACAGTACAACACTCACTTAGATGTATCGAGTACATATTACATATATAGTTCATGTTTTTAACAGACGACTGTACGCACAATAATTAGGCTTGTGGTACAAATGAAGACACAAATATCGTTTATTTCTCACAAAACGGAATTACGATGCATACATATACATTATAGTTATCCAGATATCAACTTTACCTTTCTCGATTAAGAAAGCACAAACAAAAACGACGACGTAAACGTATCTTCTCGATATCAAATCCATTTGAAATCGGATGCCTGTAAGTTATACGTCATTCTCTACTCGTGAATAAAGAGAACTTTGGATATATTAATCTCAAAAGCACAATATAAGACGATTTATGCATGGAAAAAGGATATAGGTACTTAATATTCAATGTGGTAAGTTGACTTTCGATTTCCGTGTTATTTGAAGAGAAGGCACGTGCATCCTCTAGATTTGAAAATTGTCCCTACATACAAGACAATGATAGCTACATATATTTAGAAATCAAATTTAATAAAAAATATATATACTTTGAAACCGAAGATCGATTTTTACAGTCGACAAGTATAGTTATTTGCAAAGAACTCTTAGAGCAATATAATTGATCGTACGTATATTTTTCAAGTTGTGATTTAGTTAGTTATATTTTTGCACAAATCAGTAGAATCCGTGGCAGTTACACGTTTACACGATTGTCCCTAAAAATTCCCGACATTTCTCCCGAAAACAATATATGAAACCAAATAATATCGCCTCGGAATGTCTAGCTACAGATAAGGCGGAAATGCGGTCAAAGGAAGTTGAATTTTCAAACGATTTGCATTGTGGGTGTGCGCGACTATGCGACTATGGTCGTTCTGTGTAAAACCGCCGCTAAAACAGGAAAATCTGGTTCGGCAAGTGAAAACATCAGAGTGAGACAAACGTGTGCGCATGTAATATGTATACCAAGGTGCGTCAGTCATAAACGAACAATAGAAATACATTTGTAAATTTTAAATAATACACCCAGTGAAACAAATATTTACCAAAAATATCAAATCCACAAACTTTAAAAACTATAGCTAAGTGCATAATATAAACAACGCTGAAAGCCCTTCAAATGCGAAGCCCAGTTGATATGAAACGAGAATAATATGCTTTGCATGCCATATAAAATGTTCACATATTAACGGTGACAAACAGAAAAGTAAATATGGGGTTTCAAGACGTCGTTTCGACATGTCTTTTGTATAGTGTATAAATATTGAAGGAACAGTTAATGCATTTTTATAAATAGTCATTGGAAACTATATATCACATATTCTAGTTTTTTGTTTATTTTAAACTTTCATACTTGTTGTCTTCTTCCCTGAATGTATTTAGTTCAGTGTACGCACTGTCTGCATTTTCACCTGACACTTCATGGCTGTCGGAATTTCCAAGCAAAGATTGGTAATTATCGTCTCCTGAGTTCATTTCATTTAAATTTAAGCCTTCATAAACTGAATTCCCTTCTGGGTTTAGCTGTGATTCAGGTTTTGACTCCTGCAAAGACTCGGCTAAAATTTTATTTTTCAAGTGACGATAGAAAAACAACCCAGCAACACTCAGGAGAACAACTCCAACGATAATGCCAAGCACAAATGATACGACATCCAAATACCATTCTGTTCCACCATCCATTTTGCTGTAAGCTGCTCAAGAAAAAATACTCATGTAATCAAAAATATACAAAACAAACTAATCAAGACGTGAACTGCTCAAAATGCATGATCGTAATTGTGATAATTTCAGTTACGGTTTAGTTATAGGTTGAAATCAAGAAAAAAGATTGGACTAAAATGATTTTGTAGGCAATGCCATAATGGGAATTATTGATAACATTCGCGCACCTTTGCAAGATTTGTTATAATTTTCATTATCTGTGTTTGTGCTTTTTTCAGTGTTTATCATCGCCGCTGTCGGGGATTTGATCGATGGAGTCGATAATTGTTTTGTAATAAGTACTTTATCTGTT